GACAAAAACAGGGGGAGGGGAGTAATCCACCGGAGATGCCCATCATTAGCAGAGCGACCGTTGTAGCGCTCGAAGGTGAAGCTAACAGGTCTTTCCGAGGAAGAGCTAGTCCTCGCCGACCTGCGGCGGGGCAGGGAGGGGCGCGTGGGAGGGGGGCGGCAGATTGACGGGAAGGGGGGGGGGGGGGGGGCGAGGGTAGAATGGTGTGTGGGGAGCGGCGGCGGCGGCGGCACCTGCTTGGTCGAGCCGTCGCCAAGCCAGACGTCGTAGCCGTCGGGGTAGCGCGCCCACGCGACGCCCTCGGGGACGACGTCACCGGGGTCCTTCTCGGGGTCCTGCTTCAGCGCGTACACCTCGAGGAAGGAGATGAAGAGGACGATCTGCAGCCACGCCGAGGTGGGCAGAGCCGCCCACGACGCAATCGCGCCGCCGGGCAGGTCGGAGAACTTGATGCCCTCCGCGAGGGAGAGGTAGCCGGGCCAGCGGATGCCCGAGTAGGTGGTGATGACGCCGAGGAAGGCCGCCATCGCGAGCCGCCCGTGCTTGATCTCCATCTCCACGAACCTGCGGTACCGCTCCGGCCCCTGCTCGCGGATCTGCAGCGGGTCCCAGCGGCCGATGGGCGGAAGCACCCCGATCTCGTCGAACTGCGGGACGAAGGTGTCGACCTCGACGTACGGCTTGCCGGTCACGTCGACGAACGAGCCAGCGGTGCGGCGGGTGGAGATCTTTGCGTAATCCTTGCCGCCGCCGCGCTTGGCCGCCTTGGCAGCCTTCTTGACGGGCTTCTTGGCCGCCTTCTTGGGCGCCGCCGCCTTGGAGCCGGAGAAGAACATCTCCGGCGCCGGCGTGCGCACCGCCGCGAGCGGCGCGACGGGCGCGGTGAAGGAGAGGGCGACAGGGGCGAGCGAAAGCATTGCAGGCGATTCTCAGGAGCGATCTGCCCGACAATTCAGAGGATCCCGAGACCTCGGGAGTAAGTTGGCTGCACCCATGAAGGTTTTCCACACTCGTCAAAGGAAAGAGGCGCATGAAGCGCGAAATGCAAGCCAACTGCAGAGAAAAGAAAGAGCGCACCGCCCATACTTGGCGTGAGGACCGCCAGTGGAGTTGGGAGTCCACAGACAGTGCACCACCGCGCTGCGAGCCTGTCGTGGTTGGGAGAGAGAGATTTTTAGCATTTTTAGAGTTGTTGCGTGGTTGGTGTCGTGTCCCTTGTCAGGAGCAGGAGAGCCCCACCTGTGCCCCTGATCGTCCTTCCAAAAATCCTGCTCGTGCAGATTCGGCTGAGGGCTACAGTTACCCGACCTCCGTGTGGATTTTGTCAAACGAGATTGAATCTTGGAATCTGCTGATTTTCTCCTTGACGTTCCCTTCTCGCTTCTGGCTCGCCGCGCTCGCTGTACCTAGCGGCCGTGACTCACCTGCTTCGGGCGCGCTGCTCCTCGGGGATGGCGAGAAGCGGCAGAGGTGATGCTCATAGCTGAGCTAGCCCCAGATGCCCCGTTTGCCCCACTGCGGCGCCGCGCTCGTGCCGGCGTGCAAGTGGGTACAATGCACCCCGTTGTAGGGATGTGGCGCGAGAGTGAACATCTCGCGCCTGGTCGCCTCGCTATAAAGAGCTAGCACTGTCTGCGCAGCCTGTAGGGCAGCATCGGCGTTCTTTTTGATCCGATGGTGCTTCCACTGATTGCACCGCGCCTCGCTGTGCCTTCTCGGAGCCGGGTGGAAGCGGCGGCCTTCCGATGGGACGCGTCCAAAGTGACCCATCCTGCAGCACATGACGACCGCCCATCGCGTGTGCAAGCGTGATCACGCGCTGCTGCACTAGCTGCTGCTGCTGCACTGGCTGCTGCTGCACCTGCGCCTGGGCGTGTGTGAAACCCTGCCACCGCGGGTGCGGCCGCGGCCGCAGTGGTGTAGGCGGACAATGATGATGCCGCGCGGGCGGAGGCGGACGCGAGGACGCTGCCGTCGGACAAGGGGTTGCTGTCATACGCAAGCACGAGCCGTCGGTGACGCGACGGCGTCATCACCGTTGGCCAGCTGCTAAGCGCGAAAACCTGCCCGTGTGTCGGATGCGTCCCCAACTTGTAGCGCTACATCTTTGGACACACACCGGCGGGCGCTTTCGAGGGCATTTTTAGCCCCCCGCTACCCGGTTGCACTCGTGCGACGTAGCGGGGGGCCACAACTACGTTTACGAAAACATAAGTAGTCCCGCGAGGTGTGAATTTGGCCGCCCCAGAAGCCCCCTTTCCATGGGCTTGATTTTGCGGCGCGTCCCCAAGAGCGTCCCAAACTTGTTTGGGCGCGAACCGTATCTCGCAACGAATCTCGCCGGCCTCACCGGCCCACACCGGCCCTCACTTTGACCGACGCTACCGTCCCCGCTCGACTGGCCGATGAAGAGCGACCCGTACGACGCGCACTTGTCGTCCTCCCTCCTCGCCACATGATGGCCGCCCCCCGACACCGACAGTCGCGCTCCGCACGCCTTCGAGGTCAGCTGCGGCCGAGCGACGATCGGCTCGCCTCCGATCGCTGGGCGCGGTCACTCTCCGGCCCATCACCCGCCTGCCGATCACCTGTCCGCCTCGCCGCGCGCGGGCCGCTCGCCTGCTCGCCACCGCCGCCGCGCGTCCCCGCGCCGCCACGCTTCCCTGTGCACCTGACCGCGCTCGAGCTGCGCAGGCAGACGGCGCGCTCTGGCAGACAGAGCAGCGGCCGCCCAGGCGGTCGCTGCTCCGCCCCGTCCGAATCCGTCCGCCCGCGCGTGCTGCTGCTGCCGCCGCCGCCGCCACCGCCGCCGCGTTTCCCCGCGCCGCCACGCTTCCCCGCGCCTGACCGCGTTTGAGCTGCCCGCAGGCAGACGGCGCCGCCTGGCAGACAGAGCAGCGGCCGCCCAGGCGGTCGCTGCTCCGCCCCGTCCGAATCCGTCCGCCCGCGCGTGCTGCTGCCGCCGCCGCCGCCGCTCCACCCGGTGCCCGTGTGTCGTGAGAGTTGCTTTGTGTATGTGTAATATGTGTGTGTGTGGACTTATATGTCACACTTGAGCCTCTATCTACGGTGTATGATACTCGAGTAGTAGACCGGACTCGGGTTTGGATGGTAGCGGGGGGCCCCGCCGGAGGCTGGTTACTGATTCTAAGGCAAGCAATGCAAAGACAGGTGGGCTGGTTTAGATCTAGAACCTCTTGGCCAGGCAGAGGTTTCCCTTTCATGTTGAGCAAGCTGGCGAACGAGGGGTGGTGGCCGCAACGGACGCTTGGGATGACGGATGTGGTCCGTTTTATTTATTAGAATTAGTGCTTGAGCAGCCGGGCGGTCGCCGCAGCCACCTCGAACGGTAGCTCGTCGAGCCACTCGCCGAAGGCGCCCTCGTCTTGCGCCGCGGCGTGGAACTACTTTTTCTTTTTGCCTCTGTGTAGTGTGTAGCAAGGGGCTCTGCAAATGCGAATATGCTACCAGGTCACAGTATGGGTTCGGGGACTGTTCACAGCCAGTGCGGGGGTAGGGGACCCGGCCATGGGTTTCTTTTTCGGTAGAGGGCGAAAAAAAAACTCGTCGCGATGGCCATCCCGAGAGTCAGCATAATAGAGCTATGCCTCTGCCCGACCTAATCGAGGTTGTGCCGCTCAGCCCCGAGGCGCTGGCGCGACTCAAGGCGGCGCCCGCCCAGATTGCCATCCCAGGGTCCAAGTCCATCACCAACCGCGCAATCGTGCTCGCTGCGCTCGGCGACGGCGCTGTGACGCTCCAGGGCGCGCTGTGGTCCGAGGACACTGAGGCGATGACTGAGTGCATGCGGACGCTCGGCATCAACGTCGAGGTGGCGGCCGACCCACTAAATGCGGCCAACCGGCGGATCACTGTCCACGGCTGCGGCGGCGTGGTGCCTCCGGGCGGCACCGAGGAGGCGCCGACCGAGCTCTTTGTGGCGAACGCCGGCACTGCGGCCCGCTTCCTGACGGCGATGGTGTGCCTGGGGAGCGGCGTGTACCGCCTCTCCGGCGTCCCGCGCATGCACGAGCGGCCGCAGGCGCGCTAGCCACTCAGTGGACATCTTCTCAGAGCCCTCCTCGAACCTTCTCGGAAGCTTCCCCACAGGCGGAGCTCGTCCGAGCGCTGCGAGCGCTCGGGTACCGCGTCGACACGCCCAATGAGCGGCTGCCGGCGCTCGTGCACGGCGGAGGGCCGCGGCCGGGTCCGGTGCTGGTGAGCGTGTCCGACTCGTCGCAGTTTGCGTCCGCCCTGCTGCTCTCGAGCGCGCGCGGCGGGTGGGTCGTCTCGGCGCGGGTGCGGCACGCCGTGAGCTGCGTCTCTTCACGCCATTGGCCGTGAACAGGTGGGTCGTCTCGACTCCGGAGGGGTCCAACCCGGACGAGCTCCCGCGCGCGATCCTCTGAGAGCGGCCCCTCTGCCTCACGGCGGAGGCGCACACGGGCGGCCGTTGGAGACCGTGTAGGCGCGGCGAGAGAGGACGCGCCAGCGGTGGAGAGCGAGCCTCCTCGGAGCCCGTTCGGAGCCATCCCGGTAGGTACGTCGAGATGACGCGCCGGCTGGTGGAGACGTTCCCGCACGGCGGCGGCGACTTCCAGGTCGAGCCGGACGCGTCCAGCGCCAGCTACTTTCACGCTGCAAACGCGCTCTTCCCAGACCACCTGCCGGCGCGGCGGCCTGCCCCTCCCCTCGGAGCCCACCCCGTCTAGGCGCAAGCCCTCGAGGGCGACACTTGCGGTAGGTGCGCGTGCTCGCCTGCCAGCCCCCAAAGAGGGAGGGAGGAACCGGCTGGCAGATCGACGCAGAGTTCCCACGTTTGGCGCCGACGGCGGCGGCCGAAGGCGACAACGGTGGCGGCGACGGCGACGGCGGCGCGGCGGCCGATCCGGCCAAGCGAGCGAAGCTGGCGCCGCGTGTCATTTCGCGGCACGCGCCGACGGATTTGGGCGACTCGGTCACGATTGCCATGCTGGCATGTCCGCGACACGTCCGCGACACGTCCGCGACACGTCCGCGGCACCGGCCACAGGTGATGACGGCGATCGCCATCGCGCCGCTCGCCTCGCAGCCGCACGCCTTCGCTTCGCTCGGCGTGCTGCGCAAGCAAGAGTGCGAGCGCGTGGCGGCACTGAGGGACGAGCTGCGCAAGTGCAAGGTGATCGCCGCCCGCGAGGGGGGCGTGGGAAGGAGGAGGGGGGGGAGGGGGGAGGAGGAGGCCCGCACCTCGAGCAAGCGCCCTCCCGCCCCGCCCCTCCCACCTCTCTGCGGCCGCCCTCGCACACCCCTCAGGCGAGCGTCGAGGAGGAGGTTGCGACGGACACTCTCTCCATCGCCCCGACCGCCGCCGCCTCCCTCGGCGACGCGACAGTGGCGACGTGCGTCGACCCGGCGGCAGATGCTGCTCGCGCGACGATGATTGCGGTCGAGCGTGACGCGGTCTTGGCATAGGTACCACGACCACCGGATGGCGATGTGCTTCGCCACTCTCGCGCTCAAGGCGCCGCCTTCATGGACGCTTCCTAGACACTTCCTAGACACTTTCAAGACGCTTCATAGACGCTTCATAGACGCTTCATAGACGCTTCATAGACGCTTCATAGACGCTTCCGGACGCTCGCGAGGCGACACCGCCGCCGCCGCCGCCGCACCCGCGCCGCACTGCGCGAGCCGCGCCCCCCTGACGCGCGGTCGGGCTGCGGCAGGTGCGAGGCATCAAGATTGAGGGGCCGCGCTGCGTGAGGAAGACGGTGCCCTCCTTCTTCCAGATCCTTGCCGCGTCGCCGCCGAGCGGGCTGGGCGTGGAGGTCTGGGAGTGCAACGCCGCCACGGGCGAGCGGCTGCGGCGGCTTGAGGCTCCCGAGGACCTCTTCGCCGCGTGAGCCAGACGTTTTAGGATACGCGATCGCGCACGCACACGTACTCCTCATCTTTGAAGCATGTGTCATGTCCATGGCCGATGATGCGATGAAGGCTGAGATCCGCGTCATCTGTGCTGGGGAGTCTCGCGCTCGTTGCGACGTTGGCCACAGTTCTACGGTCTTAAACGAGTCGCACTTTCTTGTAGTAATTGCTGCGTCCACATTTTGCACATACCACATTGTCAGCATTCTTGTCTCTTTTTGCGACACGCGCGTTTTCATTTTTTATACCGTCATGCGTCAATGTGTGCGCGCGGCGCCGCCGCGAACCCCCCACGGGAACCGCCGTGGCGGCGTGGGCGGGGCGCCAGAACCGCGGGCAGAAGCGCACCGTCAGCCGCTCCCACTGCTGCACCCTGCTCGGTCTCGGCCTCTCTGTCTCGCGCCTCTACGGCCTAGGGCTGGCCTAGGGTCTCGCGTGCGCCCCGGCCGGCGCGCGGCGACGGCCGACGAGTCCTCACCGACGAGCCTCGAGCTCCGAACTCTGTACGACTCATCTCTCGAGATAAGAGCATAACCATAAGACCCTCGTCACTATGATCTCGTTCCCGTCCTACCAGAGAAATAACGCCAGTATGACAGTAAGCACCCCGCACTCTCCTACCCACCCACCCCGCACTCTCCTACCCACCCACCCCGCACTCTCCTACCGTCACCCACCCCGTCTAGACCCTCTATAATGCCCGTAGAGTGCGGCGACGACACCGAATACAGATGTACGGGCTTTCGCAATGCACCGCATGCGATTCTTGTTAGAGCACCACCTCGGACTTTCGGGGCTCACGCGCCCTCGGCCCGTACGTAGTCGCCCTGACAGCCGGAGCCGCTGGCGCCCTTCTCTGAGAGGTGGCCGCAAGCCACCGGGCACGTGAAGAGGGTGAGCGCGGCGAGGGTCGACACGGCGAAAAAGGCGATGATGGCGTAGCCGACGTACTCGAACTTGTCGTTGATGTCCTTCACCGCCAACCAGAACGGTCCCTCGAGGTGCCTCGCCTTTTGGACGCAGCCGAGCACCTATTACGGCAAGTCTCGCGCTCTGCGGATCTCTGCGGATCTCGCCGTCGCGGGTCCGCGCGACAACCTCCAGGGCACCGACAACGAGCGCGATGAGAGAAGAGGTGGCGGTGAGGTACAGGTTGAAGAGCCGGCGGCGGCCAGCGCTGATGCCGGACCCAGACCCGCCCTTGGCGGCAAAGCCGTACGCCCAAGACATGAGGAGCCCGTCGAGCGTGTCCACTAGCGACATGCCCGTGGCGAAGAGGAGCGGGAGGAGGAGCGTGGCGGCGGGCGGGATGCCCTGGGACGGGCTCATGCCTGCGAGCGCAAGGAGTGCGATCTCGCTGCTGGTCTCAAAGCCGAGGCCAAAGAGGAAGCCAAGCAGCAGCATCTTCCACTCGCTGTCGATGGTCTTTAGCAGCCCGCCACAACACCGGACAAAGAGGCCGCCGTGCGAGTGCTCGCCCGCGCCCTCGCCGCTTCGTGTTTGGGCGCACGAGCCGCTCAGGCTGATGAGGTTGGCCGTGCCAATGGCGAAGAGTACGACGGCGCTCACGATCTGGCTGACTAGTTCCCCCACGCCCTTTGCAGCCTTGAAGTGCTCCTGTGGTGAGAGCGATGGTGGCTTAGGTGGCGGGCTGAGCGGCAACGAGCAAGAGCAGTGGTGGCTCAGGTGGCGGGTTGGCCGGCGACGGTAGTGAGGCCGGCGGTGGCGAGGGCGGTGGCGACGGGGGCGACGAGCCTGAAAGTACTGCGAGCCGAATGCGGTGAGCAGGCAGATGAGCCCGACGACTGAGGAGTGGCCGAGCGAGAACCAGAGCCCGGTCAGGAGCGGCTGGCGGCCGTCGGCGATCAGCCGCCTGGTGACGTTGTCGATGGCTGCAATGTGATCCGCGTCCACGGCATGCCGCAGGCCAAAGGAGAGGGCTAGCACTCCGGCCGGCACGAGGGGAGGGTACGACTGGCCGACGACGAGCAGGAGAGTGATGGCGATGGCGTTGGCCGCGGCGAGGAGCAAGGTGATGTGCAGCGCGCGCGCCTTGATCTGAGGCGCGGTCAGGAGGCCATCCTCGAGTAGGCCGCGTGCGTCGACTGCCATACCGTTGTGTCGACGTGGACGTGCGCAGTGTTCCCGGTGTGTGCTCATACCAGCCACTGATAGTCGTTACGGAGCTGACTTGCACGCTTGGAGCACGCTTCTGCAGGACGGGACTTCCGAAAGGCCGCGGCTACAAGGTTTAGGGTGAGGGCGGGGGGGGGGGGGGGGGCGTCGAGTGTGTTGTTGTCTATCTACGTGCACGGCGATGTTTACGAGCGTCACTTTGTACCCACCCCCTCTACTTCGTGGGGACCCCCCCGCCGGTCGGTGGTCTGCCCCCGAGGTGGACCGGACCCCCCCTCCGGTCGGTCGCTCTCTCGGCGGCGGGAGGTGTGACGACCGACCCCTCGGTCCGTGTCCTTGTGCCGTGAGCCCCCTCAACGCTCTCTCCCCCTCCTCGTCTTAGCGAACCCAACCGCCACACCACAGGCTTCGAAATCGCCGGTTTTCGCTATGCAAACTAGTTACGCAACGAAGGAGGCTCGAGCCAGCCCGACTCACATACGTGTATGTGGAGCATCCACGCGGCGTAGTTAGGCCTGATTGTGCTTGCCGTCGCTCTGACCTCTGTACAATCTCTGTGGCAGCGCTCCACACTCCAGTTCTACACAGTACGCGCGCATCGTCCCTTCCGATGAAAATATACTTGCCAGCGCAGATTTGTGATCGAGACACATCGCCTCCGCCCTCACCGCACACCGGGCTCACATCGGCTCGACGTGGGCGGGGACATTGACGAGCTTGTGTTCCGACCCAACGTTAACTTCTCTAGACACTAGAGCGCAGCCGCTCCGGACGAGGAGTGATTACACGGGGGGAGAGGGCGCTTTTGTGCCTCTAGTATTTCGAGAGACTAATTTATTCACAGCTGCGGCGAGCGTGTGCGGTGTGACCCACGAACCAACCTGACCGACCCTCCCCCCCCCCCCCCCCATGGCCATGGCCCATGCATCGGTCTGCGCTCCGAGTCCGACCGACCGGACCCCCCCTCCGGTCTGCGGTCTTCCGCGGCCGTCGACCGGACCCCCCCCTGCGGTCGGTCGGTCTGCGCCTGGTCTGCGCTGGGCGCTCAAACCCTAGCTCAAACCACGAAGTCGGCCTGTTCACTACCTGTTCACTACAAGATGACGCTAACATTAAGGATTCTTTTCGCCTGGCTGTGTCGTGCCTGTCGGCTGTGTGAGAGAGAAAGGGAGTGTGTGTTGGGTTGGTTGGGAGACTCTCTTCTCTTGGTTGGTGGGTGGGTGGGGGAGGCTCTGAAAGAAAAAAGAAAAAAGTGTTACTAAAAATCTCTTTTGAAAGAAAGAAAGGAGGAGACATCCCCGAAGAGGAAAGCGAGGCCAGTCAGTAAGTTTGTTTATCTTCGTGCGCGCCAGTCCCATGCCCAGTTAAATAAATAAAACCGACACGCCAAACGAGGGGTGGGAGAAGGACAGGGTCCCCACCTGCACGAGTAAAAGAAAGAAAGAAAGAAAACAGACAACCCAAGGGAGGGATGGGAGGACGGCACGCCGCCACCACACAGGGATTTTAAGGAGAGGTGTGTGGTGCGCTAGCCGTCGCCCACCCTAGGGAGTCTGCCTCTTCCTATCTCTATTCGCAGTCTCTCTCCGATTCTCGCTGCAACCTTCATGCCACCTCGCGGTCGTCCCACTCTCGTCGTTCTCTCCCTTGTCATTTCCTCCTCTGTCGCGTCGTTCCCTTCTGCCTCGTCCTGTGACGCCGCCGCCTGCCGGTCCCTTGTTCTCGCGGCTTCTTTCGCCTTTCGGCGCAACTCCGTCCTCCTCGCGGCGTATCCTGGCCCCTCGAGTCTATCGAGCTCCCCTCGCGCAAGGACCACGTTTCTGACTCCCACTCCGATCATTTGCCTACAGGTCATATTGTTGCTCAGGTCCACTCTCTCTTCGAACACTCGTGCCTCTACGGATGATGCCGGCGCTGGGGTCCCCTTCGGATGCATCGTGACATCTGACAACTGGATTTCCACTGGTTCGTCCTCCTCGGAGTCATCTTCCCCGTCCTCCTTCCGCTCGGCTCTTCGCTCGGTACGTTCGGTGTGGCTCACCCTCCATGCCGTGAACAGGCGCTTTATCCACCCTATATTCTTCTCTCGTTCCTCTGCCCGTGCCTTGGTCTTGTCGTTGTTTCGCACCCATGTCTGTATGGCAATCGAGGCTGCCTTCCCCACTACCTGTAGTTCACTCGTCACCTCTCCCGCGAGCGGCCCTTCTCTTTCTTTCGGGTATGCATGGAGTCCGTGAGTGCGGGTAGCGTGCAGGCAATCACGGGCGCTATTTTGTCGTACTCCTCTTCGGCGAGCGCTCCAAATCTAGACCCTTTCGCCTTTAAGGAGGCTGCCCTCGCTCGTCTCAGGAATGTGGCGGTGTCTTTTGAGTCCGGCGCCTCCCGTTCAACTCTTGCTGTCGCCCTCGCTGTGTGTTTGTCGAGCTTCCGCATGAAGTGACGCGCCTCTTCCTTATTTCCAGCGCAGCTGCCGCTCAGTATGTGCGCCAACCTGCACGAGTAGAATCTTGGCAGCGAAAATTCTTTTCTTTAGCAGGCCTTGTTCGCGGGCTTTGCGCGCACCAAGGACTCAGAGCTCGCGCCACCCTCCGGACGCCCATATGCGCCAACTCGACGAGGAGGCTGGCGAAGAGAGCTGCGTTATTATCAAGCAAGACTGCAGCAGCGGCGGATGACGACCGGGCGGTTGTGGTCGCGGCGGGAGTGCTCCGCCTCTGGTACGCGTGTGCATGGCGATTCCAGGCCCGCTCCGCCTGCCGACCACGTTGCTGCTCTGCTTCGGCAGCGCTTACGCCATCGTCCACGTCTGCTCCTTTGCGCTGAGTGCGGCGCTCTAGGGTCAGTCGGCAGCCTTGCAGCGCCAAATGATGTGACCACGCCCAATCGCTCTCCTGCGGCGCGTGGTCCTGAGCGCACGCGCTGTGCCCGGCGCACTTTTCTCGCTACGCGGTAGAGGTCTTCGGTTTTCGGTCCGTCGCTCTGAAAGAGCCTCGCCCACCTTGACAAGGCGCCGAGGCCGTTCAGGAATGGGGCATTTTTTTTTTTGAATTTTGTCACTGACAGAAGGACCTTTGGACTGTCCAGTGCATTTCGGTTCCCCCCAAAATCCAGAAACATCATACACATATAGCCGCGCGCCGCATATCTAGAGTGCGCCAGCACGACGCGGCGAGGGGAAACGGCGCAGCTCCCTCCGCGCTCTCTCTGGTGCATGTCTGTGGGACTAACTCTCTCCGAATATGGCTTCCTCTGAACACGCCGCGCCCGACGGGGCCGGCGCGCCCCGGCAGGTCCGTCCCAGAAAATCGCTGCCTCCCTCCCCTGAGTCCCGCCTTTGGCCGCGGCTCCAAGCTCGGGCTGGGGAGGGAAGGGGGGGGGGGGGG